TCATATGATCTTGCTGATATTTGATGTTTTTTGGCTCACAAACATAGCAATTTCATGTGATTCAATCTAATACATTATTGTACCAGATTAAAGCCCCTGGAAAAGAGCTTTATGATTTTTAAAATTCAAAAATAAATCACAGTTAGTATTTTTAAATTTCCAAAAATATGTCAATTTTTATTTGGATCACTTAACGAAGGATCAGCACATGAACAGCTGGATCATTTATAGAAAACTTAATGATTATAAGGTTAAGACACAAAACTGGCAGACGTTCAACAGTATAACAGACCATAGACTGGAAAAAAAAATTTTTTGAATCTCTACTGTACAAAAATAAGTGACATGTCACTGAGACCTATTATCTTTATAGAATGCAACGCAACCTAATGTCAAGGGAAGGACATTCCACCACAGAAATGCCTTACTCAATTAAGCATTTTCCAGTACAAGCAGGGAGTTTATACTCAGGTTCTTAGGAAGTGAAATGTCAGGGAGTATCCATGTTTCTACAAATTCTCCAGAGCATCGGAGAAGAGGCCTGAGATTTCAACAGAAGACATCCTTTCAAATTGATTTTTATCTCAATGTTTCTTTAAATTGGCACATAGGTGCTCAATAGTTATTAGAGTAAAAAAAGAGTAGAGGAAGGAAAGGAAGGAGGGAATTTGGTTGCTTAGTTGATTACTGCTATTAGTAAAGTTGTAATATATTCCCTGGACTAGTTAAAACTCAGTCAATCAGCACACGAAACTAATAACATTTTCACAGAGGAAGAATATTTCACTCCCATTCAGTAAATGTTTTTTGAACATTTATCACATGCCAGGGACTTGCTAGGTACTGAAAATCCTTGTCCAAACAGAACTTGCCATCTGGGCAGGACACAGAGAGTCACAATACAGTGTGATACATGCCTAAAAAGTACAGTGGGAACTCACAGGGGGTTGCCTAAGACAGATTTGAAGGATCAGGGAAGGCTTCCTGAAGGGAAGTGTCATCTAAAATGAAGCCTGAATAATACATTCGATCAGGGGGTGTGTGAAGACCCTAGAAAGGAGAGAATGCTTAGCCTATCACAGAAAATGAAAGAAATAGAGCTGCATTACAAAAGAGGGAGAAGTAGAGAAGGAGGGGGCTAATAAAGAAAGCAAGGCTTAGACCAAGCAAAGATTTGGGCCACATGAAAGATTTTGGACCATATCTAACAGGTAATAGGCATTCATTGAAGGGTTTTGAGCAGAGACTGGAAGATGCTGTAGACTGAATGTCTGTGTCCTATCAAAATTCATATGCTGGAATCCTAACCCCTAATGCAATGGTATTAGAAGGTGGGGCCTTTAGTTGATTATGTCATCAGAATAGAGCCCTCATGAACAGGAATAATACCCTTATAAAACAGGCCCCATACAGTGCCCTGGCCCCTTCTGCCATGTGAGGACACTGAGAAGAGGGCCGTCTATGAATAAGGAAGCAGTCCTTCTCCACACACCAAATCTGCTGGTACCTTGATCTTGGACTTCCCAACTTCCAGAGCTGTAAAAAATAAGTTTAAAGTGAAAGCTATACAGTCTAAGCTATTTTGTTATAGCAGTCCAAATGGACTAAGACATGTGATTAGATGTGAATTTTAAGTGCAGAATAGAGAGTGTAATGTAGAAAGTGAAACGTTGGAGGCACAGACCTTTGTTTTTAAGAAATATTAGTATCTCCAAGAATCATTGCGGGGGCAGGGAAGAAACTAGCTGAACTTTCAGGAATAATTCCCAAAAGACCAAGCTAAGAAGGGAGGTGCTTGATTAGGAAGATCAGGAAGCTGTTCCACAACTGCCAGCTTCAGGGCAGCCACTTGGCAGAAACTACAGCCTGCTGTCCTAACCCAGGTCAGAGGGATGGCAGCCTGAACTAGGATGATGACAGTGGGGGTGGAGGGGAGTGAAAATGTGTGAATTAGCTAGAGGAAGAATCTACAAAGTGACTTCGGATGGAGATGGGTAGGAAAAGTAAGGGATGCCACCCAGGTTTCTGGCTTAAAGCAACAGGAGGGATGGTAGTCTACCACCAAAATAGAGAAAACAAAGGGAGATTTGGGGTGGGGAAAAACGGAAGTCAAGTTTTGGACTTAAGGAGTCAGAGATGTGTGTGGGACATCTAAGCAGCCAGTTGGAGTCAGGAGCATAGTCACAATGAAATGAAGCCATGGGTGGCGATGAAGTCATCAGGGAGCGTGCTCAAATCAAACAGGAAGATGGCCAGGGATGCAAACCTGAGGAAGAATGCTAACACTAGGAAGATGGGAAAAGGAAGATTAGCCCAGCAAAGGAGACTGAAAGAGAGGCAGGGAAGAGAAGAAAAATTAATGAGCATGCAGCATCAGGGAAGTAAAGGAAGCAGAAGTCAACAGTATTAAAAACCGTTCAGGATCAATCCAGGTAAGCATGGAGAACTCAGAAATTCATGTAACCTTTCAGTGAGATGATAGGGTGGCAAGTGGATAGGGAACATTGTCTCTAAGTTCAGGAAGCCAAGAATGCCCACTGACCTTGCTATGTGTGACACAGAACTGGAACTCCTGGCCACTGTCATTTAAAAAAAAGAAAAAAAGGAAAGGAAAGGAGAAAAAGAAAAACAAGAGGAATAAAGATTGGAAGGGAAGAAACAAAATATTATTAGTATATGGTTATAAACATTCACATAGTATCACAGATTGATTCACAAAGAATCAGCATATTACTAGAAGTAATTCAAGTTTAGCAAGGTTAATAGACGAAAGACCAACTTTAAAAAAAATCACTGTCTCTACAGAAGCAATTAGAAAATATAAAAGAAAAATAAGGTACCAGCAGCAATTAGAAAATGTAATAGAAATATAGAGTACCATTCATAATAGCAACAAAAACCATAAAGCATTTAGGAACCAACTGAACAAAGAATATGCAAGACCTCCCTGGAGAAAAATTTTTAACTGTGAAAAGAAGTAAAATCAGATCTTAATAAATGAGAACATTCTATGGTTTGGGATAGGTCAATTTAACAGTATAAAGACGTCGGTTCTCCTTAAATTAATGTATAAACTAAATGCAATCTCATCATTAGTTTTATTATTATTATTACTACTTAGAAACTCAAACTTATTCCAAATGCATATGAAAGAATAATAGTTCACAAATAGCTAAACTAAAAGGAGAAAAAAGACAAGGGGAACTTGTTTTGTGAGATAACAACCAGTATGGTACTGGCATAGAGAAAAAGACAATGGTACAGAATAGAGAGTTCTGAGACAGATCCAAATATACATAAGAACCTACTGTATAATTAAGTCTCCCCATAAATTAATAAAGAAAGAACAAACCATTGGTACTATCTCCATATATGGAGAAAAAATTTAAAATGGATTCCCACCTGATAGTATATACAGAGGTGGATCCCATATGGATTAAAGACCTAAATGTGAAGGGTAAAACTACATAGTTAATAGAAGACAATGTAGAAAAATATTTTTGTGACGTGTGGAAGAAGCGTTCTTAAATAAAACCCCCAAAACACAAACCCATGTGTGTATTATGTAAAACATAAAAAATTCTAGGGCCGGCCCGGTGGCGCACTGCTACAGTGCGCCGCTTGGGAAGCGCGGCTGCGCTCCCGCCGAGGGTTCGGATCCCACATGCAGACTGGTTCCCGCTCACTGGCTGAGCGAGGGGCGGGCACAGCACGGAGGGTTGCGATCCCGTTGCCGGTCCCGGTCCGGTGTGGGCGCAACACTGAAGGTTGCGGTCCGTTGCCGGACACGAAAAAGGACAAAAAGGAAAAAAAAAAAAACATAAAAAATTCTAAAAACTCTTTTGGTTAAAGTATCAACTTTGCAGTAGATTTTTCCATTTAAAAAAGATAAAGCGAGAAGACACGATTATTCTTTAAGAGTATTCATTTAGACATAAAGGATTCATGCATATAAGGAAATATAACAGGTGGCTTTAATTTTATATTTAAAAGAAAACATTACACTATTGAGTAAGTACTATAATTTTTTTACTCCATAATCACCACTACCTCAGTTCTTCACACTTTTATTCGTTTACATTGATCCCCAAAATACATAAAAGTAAAGCTAATTATCAAGAGATTCATCAATTATAATCTGCTTTTTCTATACTCACAAGACTTTCAGACTAAAAGAAGTGATATTACTTTCCTTAAAATTAGTGTTATATCATGAACCCTACACAAATGGACCAAGAGGAATATTAGGGTACTTCAAAAAGTTCACGGAATAATAGAATTAAAAGATAATACAAATCTTTCCATGAACTTCTTGAAGCAACCTTATAGAATTATACTAAGACAAGGGATTTTTGAAAGCTGTATTAAATATATCTCTTATAAGCACAACTGAATGAAATTAAAGTATAACTGAAATTTAATTGAAATCTTAGGTAACCTTAAAAGCTTACGGCTACGTGCCAGCTGTTTTATTTCACTAGTGTCAGCTTCCATTGAGCTAGAATGGATATCTCAGAATTCAAATATACTTAGAACAGTCTGAAAAAAATGAAAACAAAAATAGCATTTGTTTCGAAATGAGTTGTCTAGGAATTAGACTAGAATGTAACAGCTGGGGAAAAACCCAAATTTGGGGCATCATGGATCATGGACTGAATTCTTAAAGCCTCATAGATTAGATAATAGAAATATATTAGGTAAAGCATTTGTAACTCCCAAATGAAGAATATTTACTTAATTGAAAAATTCATTCATGTTTCCAACCCCCTTTTTCTATCATGCTACTCTGAATATAACATGCTAAAAGTGAAAATCACATAATTTATTTAACTTGCTATTTAACATACTAAAATATTTCTTCTTCAAGCCTTTCTAAGTGCCTCCCATCCCACCCAAATAAACTACTTTCCGTGTATTTCAGAAAACTATGAAATCACCACTAACTGGTGTGATATAGTAATCCATAGGCATTCTAAATGCATTAGGTTAATAAAATATACCTTGAACAACAACCTGGCTGCCTGGGACAAAGAACTGCTGTGTGCCATCAGCTGATTGTGCTGCATACTGTACAATTGTAGCACCTGGTGGAGGAGCTCCTGAATTTGTCATTGTTAATGCCTGCAGTCCCTGAACACCATCAGATCCTGGATTAGAAATCTGGATTGCTCCACCTTGGGCTATAGCAACTTAACAGAAAAAGAAAAGAAATATTAGAGAATTTCAAGATTCATTTCCATATTGGAAGAATATACTCGGCTTCTATTACCATTGCCTCTCATTTTCAAGCTACCATTATTTTTCTGTGCTGAATTGATAAGAAACATCAGCTTCTTTATGGAGCAATACTCTAAAAAAGCCTATAAACACTTGGAAATATTTTATATGCAGAATTGTTGGAAATTCATACAACCCATGGATTTTTCCTCTTCCTTAACATCCATCCAACTAAATTATTTAACAAAAAGAGTGGAGAAGAAGACAGGGAGAGAATCCACCTTCTTGGTTTTCTCCATTCTCTCAGATGTTTTTAGTTATAAACAACATCTTTCTAATATTTAAGAAATGGTCAGTGAAATTTCCATTGAGCATCACAATTACTATGACTTTGTAACTTCATTCAGCTAACTACTTTTTAAATTTATCACCAAAAGAAATTAGCTTTTAGAGGACTATATGTCATATATTTTGGTTTTAAAGTTCAAGTCTACAAAACTTTAGCCTTACCATTTTGAGTATCAGGAGAATCCTGAAATATGAAATGTTAAGCTGGAAAGGACCTTAGAAGGTAACTATTGAAAGAATAGTTATATATTCTTAGAATATATAGAATATATTGTGTTATAATATTTACATCTATCAAGCGTCTACAATAACTTCAGCTAATGGCAACAAATGAGATAGACTTCCTCTAATACTAAGGTTTACCAGTCATGTTTAAAAGTTAACATATTAACTTAAGGTTTCAGAAGAATAACTGATCAAAAGTTTTGTTTTAAAATTTCACTCCAATAGACAAATAAGTACTTTTTAAAATGAGAGGTCTGTACACTTTAACATAAAGATTACAACTGCATGTTCTAAACAATAGAGATTCAAGGGAACAAAGGGCTACCTTTAAAAAAAAAAAAATCACTTACAAACTAGCTAATTAGACCTTAAAATGAAGATTTTAAAAATCATCAGAATAACACGACACCTATGAATCTACATAAATGCCTTACAGGAAAGTTAGAATAGTGTTTAAAATATACTCAGTATTTCTAAGTCATTCCCACATGATTTTAATGGGATCCAAGCAAAAGACCATTCAGGTGATACCTTGATAGAATAAAGGATACCTTGATAGAATAAACCTATCAGACCCATGGAAAGAGTAACAACAAATTTTCAGTTCTTTGACGTAAGGTTCTAGTGCCTAACACACAAAGATGGGTTAGCATTTTTTAAAAGATTTCACCACAGATGCATTCTCCGTGTTTTAGTTCACTGACAGGCCATTATTAGAATAGGGTTAAGAGAAACAGGAATCAATTACAGAATATCAATACTGCTGAGGTTGAGAAACCCTAATATAATAACATTTTATTTGGCTCATCTAAAGCATTATATTCTGTATACATTTTTAAAACAGGGTATTTTTAAACCACAACTCTTCAAAGATTTCAAGGGTCTCAGGATTCAGCCTTCATAATAAATGGGTTTGGGAGAGACCTAATTTCTTAAAAGAGAAGTATGAAAAAGACAAGAGATATTGTGTTCTCGGATCTTCACAGTTGGACATGAATGAATTTTATATTTTGTCATACATTTGAAACATGTATTTTTGGTTGATAATTAGTTTGAAGTCCTAGAAATAGTGCTTAAGAAAGAACAGCCAAAGACAGTTGTATAACCACGTGTTAGAAGCACAAAACCTAGCATAGAGTAGGCACTCGGTAAACATAATGAATGAAAAAGCTATCATTTCCTCACAACAGACTATAAGCAACTCTGTGAATTTAGAAAAGTTAAAGGAGGTACAGTTTCAAATTCCAATTATAGAACTTAATTTTCAACAACAACACAATTATCAAGGTTTTGGACTAGTAAATCTGAGGTGAGACTAGTTGCCTCCAAGGGTAAGAACCATGAAATAGGTAGATAACAAAGATCTTTACTTTCTTTTTTCTTTCTTATTTCCTTTTTCTCTGTTTTTTTCTTTTTGTCTTTTTCCATGTCCGGCAACAGATCGCAACCCTCAGTGTCGCCCCCGTACCGGACCGGGACCAGCAACGGGATCGCAACCCTCGGTGTTGCCCCCGCGCCTCACTCAGTCAGTGAGCGGGAACCGGTCTGTATGTGGGATCCGAACCCTCGGCGGGAGCGCAGCCGCGCTTCCCAAGCGGCGCACTGTAGCAGTGCGCCACCGGGCCGGCCCAGTCTCTGTTTTTTTCTTTTTCAATAATGTTTCCCCATAGTTACAACCAAAACATCTTTGCTTTCACACTATAAATAGTTGACATATCAAGAATCTGTTTCTCTTGTCATTTTATTTTCTGGTAAAGTTATATATTTAGATGTGGAAAACAAAAGCTAAATACACACACACACAAGTTGGCACTACAGGGAAACATTTCTCATATTTAGGCTAGTTTTCTCATACTTCAGCCTAGCTTTCATTTTTTTTATACTTAAGGTGCTCTTGATCTGGGGGTTATCAAATGACAAAGAATCTTCACATTCATTATCTTTCTTTTGGCAATAAACAAGATTTCTCAATGCTTCAAAATCCTGGAAATACCTTCGTATGTTCCTGTGTGTATTCAAAGATTTAAGGAGGAAATTTTGTAGGTTTCAAAATATTAAAGGACAGTCTAACGTGTCTTCAATAAACATAAATCAAGATAAATTAAATAGTAGAAAAAAATAAGATGAAATTAACTGAATGAATTTTGACACTTCTATTTTAAATAATTATATATTTTAAAAATTTATAATGGAAAATTTCTAGCAAACATAAAAGTAAAAAGAATTTTTTGTTGACTATTTTCTCTGCCTGCTCCCATTTTTTTTTTTTTTTTTTTTTTTTTGCTCTGGAGTATTTCAAACCAAAACCTAGATATCATGTCTGGCTGATCATTTTCAAATAAAATGACTGGCCCATATCAAAGCCATTAGTAACCATTGAAAATAAAATAGCTTTGTATTTCTCACTAATTTTACTCTGGGGACTGAGGTTTTACTGATACTTTTCTGGACTGACATGCAACTGAGGTATAAAGTTTATAGCCACAAGGGCATACACTTCTGCTGACACCAATGACAAGTCCACACTGGTCTATGAATACTGATTAGGACTCAAGCAGAAGTAAAAGTGTCTTTTAATTTTAGACTATATGCATACTTGTTTTCATCTTATAAACAATTCTTAATAACATTACATAAAATAAATAATTTCTTAAACTAAATTAAAATTGAACACAGCTAGATTATGTAATCAATTAAATTCTACTTCAACTTCCATTATTGATTGATTCAAGCCTGCTATTGTGCTATCTGCTCACAGCAGTGGTGGGTAGAGGTTAGCTTCTGTTGTCCTAGTTTCTCTGGAAGCTAACTAAATAACCTTTTTTTTTTTGCTAGTCTCAGGTGGGCTATACACCATAATTAAGTAGGTCACTCAACACCTATTCACTGAATTTGGTCTAGATAGAAAGAATGTAACTCATTAATTTACTATGCATATTTCCACTAAGTTTTAGTTAGTTACACAAACATCTTTGTATGCACCCTCATATAGTCATAATATTTAGTTTCAAATCAGTATTAACCCAAGTACAGTTTCCCCACCCCACCCCCAATTTACAATATATCATGGTAACCGGGATGGTTACCAAAACTGTGCTCAGAAATCTGCTACTTCCATTGCTCATTGCCATTGAGCATTTCTCTCCAAGAACTTTAACATCATTAAAATAATGGGAATATTATTTATAAGATGAAAATTCAAGAATTTTGATAAAAAATTTAACTAAAAAAGTAATATTTTGGGGCCGGCCCGGTGGCGCACTGGATAGTGTGCCGCTTGGGAAGCGCGGCGGCGCTCCCGTCCGAGGGTTCGGATCCCACATACAGACCGGCTCCCGCTCACTGGCTGAGCGAGGCGCGGGAGCAACACCGAGGCTTGCGATCCCGTTGCCGGTCCCCGGTCCGGTACGGGGGCAACACTGAGGGTTGCGATCCGTTGCCGGACACGGAAAAAAGACAAAAAAAAAAAAGTAATATTTTAAAGTCCTGTATAATCAATAGACAAAAAAAGATGATTAAAAAAGGGTGGAAAAATGAAAATAAAGAGTTCACAGCCAAATTAGGAAGTAAAATTTATTTAAATTAAAACTTCATCTGAGCTCTCTTTTCACTTGATATTATACATTTTTAATCCTAAACGTGTACATATGAGCAAATTCAAATAGGTAAACATGTCAATATTTAATAACAATTTAAAACCACCCTTACTCCAAACTGTTATCAAAAGATTCATAAATACAATCTCCCTGCATTTGCTTTAAAAAGAATGGCAAACAGACATTTGTTCCAATGAATTCTCAGATTTAAATTTAAAAAGTGAGCACAAAAGAGAACCTATGAGTGCCTGTGCCTTAAAAACCAAGAGGTGCATACAGCAGAAGGAAGACTAAAGCATGGTATAATGAGAAGTATAACACCAAGGTCAAAAAGCCAGATTTACATTAAGCAGTACCTTAAGTAATTTTGAAACAGTTACCTTGGGGGAATATAAGCAAAGTCACTATTAAGAATAAAAAATGCAACCGCATTTACTTTAGAAGGTGAAGGCCTATCATGTGCCAATTCCTTCTGTGAAGAAATGGAATTGATGTTTATTCATGAGTCTCCTGAGAATTCTGAATTCTTTAAACAGTCCACAAAGTTCACATTTATCTTTTTGTAATGGTGGATTGTGGATTGATCCACTTACATTTAGTGTATAAGAATTCCAATAAAGATCAGTGATTAGACACTCATTCTAATAAGGTTCCTAGTAAAATAAATTAGGAGCAAACAAAGATTTGAGGGACACTTAGAAAAAAAAATAAAGTCTTGGGTGGTAGTCCTTAATTAGTAAAGGAAGAGATCAGGGATAGTAAGGTGGGGGATTAAAAAAAAACTTCATGTTATGAGAAAATTTAATGAATCAAGAAACTTTAAACATTTTAATTTCTTCAGCTGCTTTTCTATGCTTTTATGAATTCACTCACTCAAAGCAAATCTTAAATGTCTTATGCAAGTAACATTCTTTGCTAATTCTATCTCAGTTGCCACCTTTCAGATATATGTTCCTAAGATAAAGCAGATTTCCTTTTACTAGAATCACTTGACTGTTATACAACAACCTATCACTACAGTCTTTAATTCTAGTGAAGATTTTGCAGGTGCAGCTCACTTACTTGATGTTGTAATAGTGAATTCCTGCCTATTTTAAGTCATTTTTCCTACTCCCAAGAAGTAGCCTATTCCAACTTTCATTTCTTAGTTTTCGTGATAAAAAATCAGTTGAAATAAAAAGGCCAACTCCTATCAAATATCTTTCAACTATTAAAAAGGTACCTGCTTGTATATGGGAAAACCTAAGTACATTTATTTTATTTTATTTCTTTAACTTTGACACACATTTAGTTCTTTTGGTTTTTAACACATACTAACTCGTTATACCAAATTAACAATAAATAATAAAATAATAAATCTTTGACAAAGAAACAAAAGCAAAGTTTGGTGGAAAGTTATCTACGGATAAAAGTTTAAGAATTAAACCTAAAAGAAATTTTATAATATAAGGTTATGAAGGGTCTCAAAAAAAAAAGGAAGAATCTCAAGAATTCTAATAAAATAAACTCCTGTAATCTAAAAACCAAAGGAACATCAGTAATTGTTTCTATTTCTAATATTTAGGCATAACATTAAAGCATTAACTTCTGTAAAGTTATTCCTAGTAAGAAATATCATGAATGAAAATGGATCTTACATGTGTGTAAATGTACATTTTACCCTCCAATTACAGTAAATGTCTTCTAAAAAGTTTAAATGTTAGTATTCACTTCTCAAATGAATGATTTATCCACATAAACAATTACCAGTAAATGTCCCAAAAATGCATTTTTAGCAAAGGCAATACTGCTTTGTGTAAACCAATAAATGGCAATTTTTACCTGCAGACTGGACAAACAGAACAATTACAATTTTTCATTAAAATAACTGGCAGGGGGCCGGCCCGGTGGTGCACTGCTACAGTGCGCCGCTTGGGAGCGCGGCAGCGCTCCCGCCGAGGATTCGGATCCCACATACAGACCGGTTCCCGCTCACTGGCTGAGCGAGGTGCGGGAGCAACACCGAGGGTTGCGATCCCATTGCCGGTCCCGGTCCGGTACAGGCGCGACACTGAGGGTTGCGATCTGTTGCCGGTCACGAAAATAGACAAAAAAGGAAAAAATAAAATAAAATAAAATAACTGGCAGGATCATACTGTACAGGCCCAAAGTAAGAAGCCAAAATAAGGAACAGTCCATGACCTCTTATGTGGCAAATAGATAAATGTCTAATTTCTAAACATAGTTTTCTAGTTCTCAACTAGAACTACTGACATACACACAGAGTGAGGTTTACTGCTGAGCCCCCTGCTGCAAACGGGCACCAAGAGCACAAGGAATACAGGTGTCAGAGCTGGCTGGAGGGAAAGTGTAATGATCACGAATGAGACTCTACCGTAGCTAACTTATATTTCTGTTTCATGTCAATAGTAGCATGTCTTTTTCCCCCCTACTTTCACCTTTTGTAATCACACTAACCCCAGAGTTTGGCAATTTGGTACCGTTCCTACTTCAAAATCTAAAACCTGAGATGTGAAAATAAAGCTGCTCACTCTGATCACTGAGTAGCAAACAGCAGAAAAGGGGTTGCTTCCCCACATTGTCTCCAGCTTCAAGAATCTCTCAACCACATATGTTTTCACAATTTCAAATTTTCAGCTAATAAGCTAGGCAGATTAATCTACAGCATCCACTTCTCTATCACCTTGTAAAGAGATCACTGCTTCTACGAGAATTCGCAGACAACATTAGGACATGCCAGAGGAATGTTAAGATGTAAGCATCTTAGATTGCCCCAAAACTTTAAGAAGTCTTAGTATTATTTCAGCAGTAATTTCCAACCTTTTCCCTGTCATGACACAAACAGAAAACAATAATGTGTGTGCAGCCCCCTGGGGTAAATTGATAAAGGTGCTCAAGGACAAAGCTGAGCAGCCAGGAGACTCCAGCAGCTCCAAGACCTGCCCAGCCCCGTGGGGACTGAGGGGAGGAGGAGCTCAGCAGTTCCGTGACCCTGGTACTGCATGCAGAGGCATACAGCTGGCAAGACTTACAGTTCTAAAAGGCCCACCGTATGTCCCCAGTGGGCCAGACCAAAAAGCATATAAACAAGAGAAATGATAAAAGAGAAATGACAGTGTAAACCTCAAGGTCTAATTCTTACAGACAATGAGAGTTTTCTTTTCCTAACACTGACTTGGGACATCTCCACTCAGAGCCCTATAGAGGCTGTGGATAAATTACATCCCAATTCTGCCAGGTATCACGGTAGGAGCTACCCAAAACTACAAAAGGAGAATCAGTTTAATAGTATAATACTGCAAATCTACCACCATTATAAGAATAACTCTAAAAAACTGCATAAAAACTAATGACTACATAAGGTCTACCCACATATTAAGCAGCTTAATAGCCAGGACTTAAATTAAGACTTGAGACTTTTTCTAGGTATTGCTATTTTTTAAAGGAAAAACAGAGAATATATCTAAAACCTAACACCTTATTTGGACAAGCACAATATTTAATATCACACATATTTCAGTAGCTAAGTAGGTTTTTTTTGCCCTGTCCTTTTCCCCCCTTTTTCTTTTCTATCTCTCGTGTTTTACTATTCTTATGTATCAAACATTCTTGATTTGGGAAAAACTAGTGCTTTACTTTAATTAGAACAAAAAGCACAGAATTAACAGCCCATTAAAATGCACAAGACTAAATGTGGATATATCTGTTTATTTACAGCCTTCAGTATATAAAATTTCAAATAAAAGGATCTATCCAATTGTTATACTTTTTAAAATAAAAATTTTTCCATTCTCTTTTAGGAAAAACTGTAGCATAAATTAACACAGTAGAAAAGTAGCAAAAACAATTACACTTAAAGCAATTTAGAAATTTTTCTCCTTTAGATTAGGAAGCATAGTATGTAATTCTTAACAAAAGATAACAAGAATGAAATACAGACATTTATATCTTATGTTTGTATGCATCATAAAGACAACAAAAAAACAATAAGTTTTAATTTTTCACTAGAGATTAATATAAACATATAAGTAGGAAAAGGCCTCCCTTTATTTTTACTTCAAAATTTTCTTCTATATTCAGCAATAAAAATTTTTACTTTTCAAAAGTATAAGACAGCTGTCAGTAGAAATCTCTCACTTCTTTAACATGTACTTTTTGTTCTACGATACACATCTTAGATATTATTGGTGCATTTTAAAATGAACAATTTAATGCCAAAACCTGAGTTGCTTTTGTAACTAGAGATGACTTAAGGTACCACTGTATCATATCAAATTGCAGCATACATACTGTATTGCCCCGTGCTAGTCTGATATATGCTAGTCGGTACTGCCATGGTAGTGATGTGAGGCAGTGTTCCTTCTTCCCCTGATTTTTCTTCTTCAATCTTGGGAACACCAGGCACATCAGAGGAAAGTTCATTCAGTATTTTTCTAAAATATAATTAAACAATATAAGTAATTAAGGTATATGAATGAGACTCAGAAAAGCTATAAAGGAAGCAGTGGTTTGATGTATAATTATTCTAGCTCTTTGGAAAAGTTACAGTAGTAAACTTGGTTAACTTACCTATAAGAGGGTCTTCGTGAAAGGATTTCTCTACGTTTATGAGAATCAATTACACCTTCTGATCCTGCAGACTCATCTGTCTCTGCAATTGTTGCTACCTGTAATACAAGATTTTCTGAAATGCATCATAAGATATATGATCTTCCTAATTCAAAAAGTGGTGGTTAAGGATCTATATGTGCAGCACTGCGCCAGGTGCTGTGGAAAGTGAGCAAGCAACAGCACACAGTTAACCTGCACTAAAGGAGCTCACGATCTGACTCAGGAAAGGAAACACAGACAGAAACATTTAGGTTGTAAAACAAATGTGTATGGGAAGGAATGGTACAAATACTAAATACCACAGAAATGCAATGATTGGACTGTCAAGTGGAATGTCAGGATCCCAAACCTCAGAGAGCCCTTACAAATCCAGAAAGGAGTAAAGTGAGCGGGCACCAGAGGCAGAAAAAAGCACCCTCAATCTCACTGGTCTTTTCACAGTATCACAGCTGACCTGAGTAGGGTTAAAGGCAGTAGACAGACTGAACGAAGAAAAAAAAATTTTTTTTTTCCTTTTTGTCTTTTTTCGTGTCCGGCAACGGACCGCAACCCTCAGTGTCGCGCCCGTACCGGACCGGGACCGGCAACGGGATCGCAACTCTCGGTGCCGCGCCCGCCCCTCGCTCAGCCAGTGAGCGGGAACCGGTCTGTATGTGGGATCCGAACCCTCGGCGGGAGTGCCACCGCGCTCCCAAGCGGCGCACTGTAGCAGTGCGCCACCAGGCCGGCCCCGAAGAAAAAATATTTAAGTAGATAAATAACTCAGTAAACGAGCCTGGTTGAAGTTAGGGTTTATGTAACAAGGAGTAGATTAGGGCCCTTTATCATAGTAGGTCCTAATGGTCAAAATAAAGAACTCCTCTTTAAAAGAAAGATCAGAGTTTTATGCATGATTTCATTTTTCAAGTTAAGTAATAATACAATGACTTGATTATTAAAGAAAGTCAGAAAATTAAAATAATAAATTTCTACAATAACAGGACTACTGTTAATATACACAGCCATTTAACTTTGAGGGCCTAGAGTAGCTGAGTTTACAAACCTCAGTTTACTTGATATTATCATTACATGGGAATTTGATTTGGGCAGAATCAAAAGAGCTTATTAAAATCAACAATGCAAGTAAGAATATACTTCCTAAAGCACATGGATATGTGTACATATCCACCTACACAAATGACCATGCATCTCTGGTCATGGACACCTCACACATAAGCACACACACCCAATGACCAGAACTTACTGAAAAAAATGTTGCATCAAACAATCATAAATCACCACCAAATATTTATCACTTTACAGGACTTTCACGCATCTGACATATAATCAAAACTACTCCCTTATGTGACATAGGTTATTTTGCCCATTTTAGAAAGGTAAAAACTGAAGTTCACACAGAGAGATAAAGTGAGTTGCCCCATGGTCCAACAGGTAGGAATTCTAGGACAAGATCTACCAGCACTTCTCTCTACACAAAGACAATTAAGCCACTCATTTAATATAATCCAAAAAAAGCCCACTGAATATAAGATAATACTTTCTTCCAATACTAGCTAGGCTAAAACTAAGTAGAAATATCTGCAACCCCATAAAAGTCTTAATACAAAGGAGAAAGCAGACTTTTTTTGTTTCTTAATTAGGGTCAGAAAGAGTTAGAAACTCTTGGAATAAAGGGTTATCACAGGAAGAAAAAAAAAAAGACTGATGAGATTTATTCTTACACTCTTGAGCAACACAAGAAAAGATACTAGTGTTGAAAAGATAACAAAGCTTTTAATGCATGTAGATTCATAATTTCAGAGTTAGAAACTCTTGGAATAAAGGGTTATCACAGGAAGAAAAAAAAAAAGACTGATGAGACTTATTCTTACACTCTTGAGCAACACAAGAAAAGATACTAGTGTTGAAAAGATAACAAAGCTTTTAATGCATGTAGATTCATAATTTTGAATGTCATGTTGCAACCCTCATCCTTATGCTGTGATAAACTCTACTCAAACATGCAAGAAAAGGATCTCCATTTTCCTCACAGACTTTTTTGTTATCAATTAGATTAAAATAATCTCAACATTTAAAGAATAATAGCAAATTGACCTAAAAAGGAAAAGAAATAAATTCAGTAAATAAGAAAAAATATACTTTAAAAATGCATACTTAATACTTTACATCTAGTGATGAAAAAAAATGTTTTACTTTCAAGAAATGTTAAGGATTTATGACCAACCTTGATAATAATAAATAATAAAATACATCTTTGAATCACAACCACAATAATAATCACATCTACAAAAGCCAAGACGACATAAAAACCTAACACCAAAGTGACAATAATATATTACTTTCTAAGGATTATATATACTGAATTTAAAATAAACTTAAATTTCCATCTACTAATGTGAGTATATATGAAAACAGCACCAGTACTATAAGCTTTATAGGACTGTGTTTATCAGACCGCTTCCCCAAAGAACTCTCAAAATGTTTCTAAGCACCCCTGTTGAGCTTTGCTAAATAAATCTGAGTTTGAGCACAGAACAACTTGAAGACGACATAAATTGCTCATCTAGCAATTACTCATTCTGCAAATTAAGAGCTGACAACAAAACTGCAACTGTTAAGTCAAATCTCTGTACCTAGCAGGGCACAATGTACTTCACATGTAAAACAGAAATTCTCCCAAATATCTGACATAAAGATTTGAGCATAAAAGCTACACATGGAAAAATGATGATAAACGAATTAGTAAAAGAAAAAAAAAAAAAACACCTCAAGAAGGTCAAAGACAAATCATCCAGGAAGGAAGCTAACCTGAACAGTTTGTATTTGTGGTGACTGAATAACAGATGGCTGTGGTGTCTGAATTACTCCCCAGACATGTACAGTTTGACCTGAAGGTAACTGCACTAGAGTTACAGCTGGGGAGCCTCTTCTGGTGCCTGATCCAGCTACAGAAACCTGCAAAAATGATCATCATTGTCATCATTGAGGACTAAATCTGGACCTTTTTTTGTTATTTTTGTTTATTTTTAAGAAATACCACTCACATAACCCAAGGTCAAGGGTTCAGATCCCTGTACGGGCTAGCCACTAAAAAAACCAAAAAACAAAAAAGAAATACCATTCACTATTATGACTAGCCTTATTCTCTTTTTTCCCCTGCCTCTAAGAAATGCTAAACAAGCTGGGGGTACTTACCATTAGGAGGTAGTTACTGTCCTGGAACAGTCATTCTCTGATGTGATAGATATTAAAGAACCCATGGTCCTCACTTTCGGTGCCCATGCTTCAGTGGCTAAGAATGTCCCAAGCACAAAGTTCTAAGGCAGTTAAACTACCTCACTACGACCTCATGATTACTATCAGTGAAGGCTTTTTTAGGCCAGAGTATAAACTATCCTCTCTATCTTCTTAAGAGAAATTGGAGATAGAACTTACATAGGTTGAATTATTTTTTACATGAAATGTTTGACATAATGATATTCTGATATTCCTCCAGATGCAAGCTGATGCCTTGTCTCTATACTGATAAAAACTGCAGTTACTTTTATAACCCCATAACTGCAAAAAAAAAAAAAAAAAAAAAAAAAAAAAACACAGGCCAAAGAAATTCCAGGACCTTTCAAGCCCTTTGTGTCTCTGACCAGAGAAAGGTCATGCCTTGGAGCTGGTATGGCCCCCTGACACTCTTCCTCCCCCCTAGCTCAGGCATCCAGAGAGGGCCAGAGCTGTCACTTCTCTTTGAGCAGAGAGAAGAGAGAATAGTCATGTCCCAGCTACTCAGAGTGCTTTCAACCGAGATCCCTACCAGCAAAAACAATACACCCAGTCCCCTGACTCAAAACCTGCCAAGTTTTCTAATGAGTAAACATCTCTGTCCTATACACCAGTGCAATTTTAGAAACTTTGCCTCATTTTATTAAGATTCGATATTCATTATGACTTACTCAAAACAGTCAAAGACCTTGGAAATGAAATAAGCCACTAGTTTCTATTATGAGTAGTAATAATACTGCAGGAGCTAAAACAATTTCTGAAGGAAGCCTCTGTGTGTGACCTCACTTTAAGGAACACCAATGATTTCCAACCTACTTATACTTTAAAAGAAATATTTGAAACTGGATTTATAACAAATAACCATAAAATGTATTTACATTGTCATAGAAATAAACTTATCTGGCTATCTAAAAGTTAAAAATCTTTTATCCATGCAAGAGAACCTATGTGTTGAGCATTGTACTAGGTGTACAATGGTAGGTGTACTAGGGTAGAAAGTAGATTGATAAAACTAACAATTGAGAAACAATAGCACACCAACGGTATAGAACTAATTGCTCCATTTTACAGGTCATGAATATCACAGGAGTACAGAATAGAAAGAACAGTATGGGCTTGAACAATAGGCGAAGGCTTTGTGTAGAACCCAGAGCTTGAGCCGGACCTCGATCTGATCCTGGATAACAGCTGGACAGAAGGTAAGAAACCAGCGTAGAGGCAACCAATATGCAGCCCAAAGGGCAAATTCAGTCTCCCCACACCTAGAGAATCATTATCCACCTTGGGTTGTAAGAGAAAAGAGAAATGTCATCCTCTATGGAACCAGCGGATAGAACCGCAAGTTAAAAAAACACTGTATTTGCTTTACAAATGTTCCAGCACATAATTTGTATTAATTATAAAAAGGCATCCACCTCTGTGTTGACTACCAAAAGACACACCTTTCCTCAAACGTTTTAGTGTCAGGACACCTTTACACTCTTAAAAATTACTGATGACCTTCTTTGAGGTGATTTATGTCCAATAAAGTGCTGATAAACATTTAATAACCACGTCTTGGGAAGGGACAGCTCTGATTTGTAGCTTTTGCCGATTTCTGTGATGTAAATATTCCCACTATGAATGACTTCAAGCTACCAACAGATGACACTGGACACAAAGTTGAAAAAAGATACACACCATCACTAGCCATCACAAACCCAGGAAGAGCCAGCTTCAGGACACCACTGGTTACATCTAGTTCTATTTACCATATTAGAAATTAAAATACTTATTAACTAATTTAAAAATCACAATAATAAATCCATTACATGCTAACAAAAATGACATTTTATGAAAAATAATTACATTTTCCAACACAAACAAAAAATATTTAATGAGAATAACACACTGCTTTACATTTTTATGAATTCTTTAAACATCTGGTTTAATTGAAGACAGTTGATTCTCATATCTGCTTCTGCACTCAATCTGCAGTTTTAGTTAGTATGTGAAAAAAATCTGGGCCTCAAATAGATATGTGATTAGAAAAGGGAGGAGTATTATAATAGCTTTTTCAGAAAAACATGGATACTCTTATTGATACTACACCAAAGCTCAACAAGTCGCTGTTTCTTAAAGGTTATTTGCAACTTGGAATCTGAAACCATATCAGTTACATTAAAGTCCATTGATTTATTTTGTACTTTGCCTGGATCTTTTGGCAAGATTTTGTAACTTCATGCAGTAGTCATTTGGGAAATACTGGCTCACTGAATTAAGCATCTTCCAAATTCTGACACACTTCATGAAATATAATCAAAAATTATATTCATTAAACCACCAACCTCATCAGAAAACTCTATATTGTCAAGTTCACAATGGCAGATGCAGGTTTTCCAAAATTCAAAATTTCTGCTTAAAAGCTTGAATTTTATCATTGATAACAAACACTGTCAGTTGTTTTCCTTGAAATGACAAGCTCAAGCTCACTACATTTGTTTTGGAGAAAATGTTTTCAAGTTTGAATAATAGTTTGGCTGCTAGCTATTCTTTTGAGAAAAATGTTGTCCTGTGGGGAAAAAACCCAGCTAGTTCATCTTACCACTCTAACAATAGCACAAGTGCTTTTCCTCGAGAACACCACCAGTCTTCAGTACACACAAGTGCTTTCTGCAAACATTCCACTTCATGACACAGAATATTAAAACAACATGTACTCAAGGGCTGAGATTTAATGCAACTGATAATTTTTACTGCTTCATCAAGGATGTTCTTAAGTGAAACACTTTTTTATTAACTGCAAGTGAATGGTAGTGAAAAATATAATGACTGATAGTACAGTTTGGTGCCGCTGACTTGATTTGAGCTAAGGCACTGACAGTTTACCACCCACTGGTTTTGTACCATCAGTGCAAATGTCAATACAGAGAAAAAGGAAAGTAACATCTTAGCATTATTGTAAAAACAGTTTTGTCCCAGCAAACCTCCTATAAGTCTCCTCAGAGTCTCCCCCAGGGTCCTGCGCACCACACTTTGAAAACTACCGCTCTAGACTACTGTAGCCCCTACACCCTGGCTTTCAGTTTGAAAAGCAGAATGCTGAGACAGGCTGACAACCTAGGTTTCTAAACCTAGCCTAGGTTTAAAGCAACCACAGGGCAACCAGGTGGAAATGTTTATTTAACATGGAAAGAGAGTTATGAGACTGATTATTGGGCTAGAGCTTAGACAGGAAATAAAGATCTGAGTAATAGTGACAAAGAGCAATCTATAAAGAGTATTATAATTACTTTATTCATGAGGTACAAATAAGGTTCTAAAGAACCTCTGGAAACACAAGGGAATCAGTTAAAAGTCTTTCCTAAAAGACACTACTCTTACAGGGAGACAAATGAAAGTTCACTTGAACTATATGCATACTGCCAATCGAAATAGAGAATTCTTTCTTATAAACATCAAATATTCATTCCAAGACTTCTTTAAGAGCAAAAATTTCAGGGACTGGCCTGTTAGCTTAAAAGCAAAAATTTCAGGGACTGTCCTGTTAGCTCAGTTGGTTAGAGCGTGGTGCTGATAATACCAAAGTCCAAGGTTCAATCCCTATACCAGCCAGCCTCCAAAACAAACAAATAAATAAATAATGAAAGTGAAAATTTCATAGAAACATATCCTATTTATGAATTAATTTGTTCTTTTATCCACTCAACAAATATTTACTGGGAGCCTGCCATGGACCAGTCCAGACAGTAGAAATGTAGCAGGGAACAAGAAAAGTCCCTGCCTTCCTACATCAGAAGGAGACAGAAAATAGATGAAGAAATACATACACAATTTTGGGTAGTACTCAATTCTTAAAAGAAAAATAAAGCAGGGTAAAGGTTAGAGAATTACAAAGAAGGCTGGGGATGGAAGGAGGCCACCTGTGGAAAGCTTCTCAGAGGAGAAAACGGATTGTGCAAGAAGCCTAAAAGAAAGGGAGGGGGTCACAGGAAGACCTATGAATATATTCATCACATTCCAAGAACCAAGTAGGTGACTGCTCAAAAAACAAATATTTCATAATTTTTAAATCTCTTTTTATGAGGTATTTTATACCTCTTTTTATGAGGTATTTTGAAAGTGTGTAAAATGAACTCATAGTAGACATAATTTACCTCTTTTTCCAGATCCCCTGAAGAATAATCTTCTATAGGATGCCTGAAACATAGATTACGCTGATGCCACCACATCCACCAAAAACCCCACTATAGACAGTAGTTAATCTGAAATAAGTTAAGATGATGCAATTGACAGCCTCACTTGGCTTTGCAATTAAAAGAAAATCCTAATAATGACACATAACTGTGAAAACCTCACAATGTTGTAATATAGCATTTGATTAGCACCTAGTAGACTAGCTCCAATCCACAGCAAGGTTCCCTTATGATGGGGTTTATGATGTCACAGTACAGCTGTAAATGTCACAGAGCTACTGGGCCTGCATTCAAGACAGCTAATAAAGGATTTTAAAAATGTGAATTCACAATATAGCAGATTGCTCTATCAACTCTGCTGCCTGAGAAATCAAGTCTCTATTATCTAATTTCTAGGACTATAATGAAAATCCATCAAAAATTTAAGCACGAAGTCGAAAACTATCTTGATTTCTCTGTATTAAGACAGGATTCTCAAGTGTCTCTTCTATGGAAGAAAAAAAGTGTTTAAAGAATATTTCGAATATTTTAAGGTTGAAAACAGAAAATAAGAATATTATAAATTGAACATTTGCATAAATATGCAAAATATTTTACTTTTTTAAGACTCGTATTTGGTTGTGCTAAATGAAGACAAACACAAAATGAAAACTGTAGAGTTGGTCTTCATTTTGGTATCTTGAGTAACTTCCTTCCCGTTTTTTTTTTTTTTTTAAATAATGTGGCTAAAAAATTGCAAAATCAATGGAGTTAAATTTTACTTGATTTTACATTGAGAATATCAATTGAAAATATTTGTTAAAAATAGATTATCCAAGTAAGACTAATATTTTTATATCTACTATCTGTTAAAATTCTAAAGAGATGTTGTTACCTCAAATCATTTTTGTGTGTGTATGGCATAAACAAATAACATCTGAAATCTATAATGTGAATATAACAGGGGGAAAGGGATCACTGTTTCTGGTATTATAAATATAAATAGCCAGATTTTATGTCTCTAAAAAATTCACCTTTTGAAGCCAAAGCAGATATCAGAATCAAGCCATTCATAATTGAACAGGAGAGGTTTAGAGTCTATTTTGATAATACTTACAAGTAAGAAGTTAAATTAAAATTAGGGTTCTTTATCATCTGACAAACCATGGTCTAGCTAATCGTTTTTCTTTTTTCCCAGTTAATCCTTAAAGTGTCTTTGAATTTCCTATTTATAATATTCAGAGCATCATTTTATATTCTAATGAACATGAGATGTGTTTCATTTATTATATTTTAAAAGTACTACAAAACTAAATCTAATCTTTATAGAAGTCAAAACTCTTTTAACTCTAGAACTTTTAAAAGTCAATCTTGTATTTGGATTGAAACTAATCATAATTTATTAGCCAAATGTATTTCAAAGTATTAAATGCACGCAGAGAAATAAGTTGCAGAGAGATCATAAGCCAAAAAAAGGCTTTTATGCAGCAGATACTTTATAAGGGCAAACAGTAGATATTAAAACTGTTCTTAATAGTACAGATAATTTCTAACAATGAATAGGAAATGTATAAGCCAAAAGTCAGAAACCACAAAATGAATGCCTAAAAAATCACTTATCCAAAATTTCA